CTAAGTTAAGTGACTTGTCTGAGTGTTACGTAGTACTTAGTAAATAATTCTTGGACTGTTGAATGGAAAACAGTAATTTCTCAAGAATTCAAGGGATCTTTAACAAAGAGTCTTCTGCATATTTTATTCATTTATTTATTTTTATGTGGTGCTGAGGATGAAACCCAGTGCTTCACATACCCCAGACAAGTACGCTACTGCTGAGCCACAACCCCTCCCCCTTCTGCATATTTTTGTATCTTTAACTTTGACTGAAATATTAGAAATGGATTTGATGATGCTATTACAGCATTACCAACAGCCTGGTAGTTGATCTTTCTTTGGTGTTTTTTTGTTTTGTTTTGTTTTTTGTTTTTGTTTTTCACCCAAAGGAGAAAACTATTCACAACAGGATTAGTGTTGGCCCCAGGGCTTTCAGTGGAGTCTCCCACAAATGATGGACAATTAGAAACAAGCAAAACAGGCCCTGGCTCCTGGTCTGAGAGGCCCCAATTCATTGGAGAAGCTGTTGATCTCAACTGTTAGGCTTCAGCCATTGTTCACAATCTGGCATAGAATTAATCCCTTAAGAAAGGACGGAAAAATGCCATTCAGCACAACATAGTTTGTCATCGCATGCATAATGCAGACTTTCCAATTAGAATGCTACAATTTGGAAACTTTCTTCACAGACTGATGAGAGAGCAATTATTTTAAGAAGGGAAAACTCAGTCCACTGGGTTTGCCTCGAGTCACTTCTGACTCAAGCCGCAAAGACAAGAGTTTTGAAATCATATTCACTATTGAATTTTGTATCAAAACACCAGCAAGGAGAGCAATTAGTTGCTGTAAACTGAACCCCTAGTAATCAATGATATGCAGCCAGCCAGAGCATTTATGGAGGATGTAAGCAAAATCACATCTGCTAATCAATTTTAAAAAACCTAGCACTTCACTGCTTTTAGGGAAACACCACAGTAAGAAAGAGGAAAGATGGAGGAGATGGTGTTTAGTATCACCAGGTATTTCATGCAGTGCTCACTCCGTAGAGAGGTTTGTGGCCCTAGCTAAACACTCTTCATCTGCTTCAACAGATCTTGGCCAGTGGTGTCCATTATTCAGCTCCTTTTGGAAATGGCTTCTGCTGAACGGTGGAGGTGTGTGGATGTGTGTGAGAGATGGGGCCTGTTTAAAGAGCTCGCACATACACACACACACATCATTGAGGTGTCTGTCCTGGGCAAGCTCTCTGCAGACATTCCTGGTTGGATACAGGTCAGCAGTGTCTCTTTGTCACTGCAAGTACAAAGGCATAAGAACAGCAACTCTGTGCTCCTGGCAGGAGAAGAAGTGGAGGTTGTCGGTGGGCCTTCCACTTATGCCTTATCAGAACCAAATTCCTATCCATGGAGAAAGAGATGGAGTCAGTTTTCCTTGAGTGTTCTTAAATTGTACTTGCTTTTTTGCTTGAATCAACCAGGAGATTTTTATTCTCCGTGAAGCCTAAATTCCAAGCAAATATGCATTCTGACACATGAATTAGAATCTCACCAAAAACCCCACTGTGTAGGTGAGTCTGAGCCATGGTCTTGATAACCTGAGATCCATCAGTGTCCCTTTTCCACTCAGGAGTCACCATGACCCCCCATTCCCAGCCCCTAGGGACTCCTAATAGAGGAATAGAGAACAAGATTTCCACCAATATGTGCACTTGGCTGCTGTTCAGAAAAAAAGAATTTAGACCAGGAGAAATTATTGAGGTAAAGATCGATAGTCCAGGCTAATAAAAATTAATATCTTCAGCATGCAAACTATGCTAGGCAGTGGATTAATATCCTTTAGATATAGAGGACATTTTGTAAGTCATTAACAAAAGAATAAATGTAAGTAGGAAATGGGTAAAATGTTCAAGTTCAATGATAAGTAAAAAATTGCAAATTAGCTAAATATATTTCATCTATCAAATTGGCAGTATTTGTAAACCTAACCACAATATTGGTGATGATACATGGGCATTTGTTACACACTGGTGGTGATGTGAATACAACTTGTTATAGATTTTTATTTGGGATGGGGGAGAAGAAAGATATACAGCTATTTTATAATACATACCAAAGCTTCAAAATGTTTGTATGCCCTACTCTAGAAGTTTTGTTTACAGAAACTTTCAAAGGCACTGATCATGTATTTAGCTAAGAATGTTCATCACAGAATTTTTTTAAGTATTTATTTTTTATTTTTTTAGATGGATACAATATCTTTATTTTATTTTTATGTGGTGCTGAGGATCAAACCCAGTGCCTCACATGTGCTAGGCGAGCGCTCTACCACTGAGCCACAACCCCAGCCCTCATCACAGAATCTTCATACCAGTGAAATAATATCAGCTACCTAAGTGCCTAATAATAAGAGACTGATTAAATAAATTGAGATGTCCAAAAAATAAAATACTACAAAGTCAGCATATGTGATGTATAAGAATATTCAGTATACGAAAAGATGTTCATAATAGATTTTTAAGCAAAATAAGCAAGTTGCAAATAATAGGCACTTTGTATTTGTGTTTACAGTATTCTTATAATTACAGGTGATCTTCATTTTAAAATAATGATTTGCCTTAAAACAAAATGGAGGACTTTATAGAATAGGCCACTTAAAAATTCTTCTAGTGTGCTATCCTTTCAAGATTCTCTACTGGAATGTTTATGATACTCATAATTGGTCATCCTTTTTTATCTTTTCTATAGCCCATATCCTCAAGGCAGTCTTTTTCAATGAAATATTTTGAGGTCTGGTTAGATTCTATTCCTAAAGGGACTGATTGTTTTTGTTTGGATACTCTGTAGCAGTACTAACTCTTGATTATCTGAAAGGTTGACAAATCTGGCTGTCCATAAGTAATCCAGAATCCCAATGAGAAAATCTCTCAACATTGTCTCCCAGCAAACCTGTTACTAGAGCTATTAATGAAGAGAATGATTAATCAGCCTGAAGTCCTTTCCTAATTTCAGTAGCAAACATATATTACTTGATAGCAAACAGCATTACAATTGAAAACAAAGAACTAATGGGAGAGGGGAACATGGGCAGTCCTAATCCTCAATAATAGCTATGTAGGGGACACTAAACTGAACTTTTGCAAAGCCTTTTCATTGATCATAATTATAAATTAAAGGAATGTAATACAAACTACTTTTATAAACTGATAGGTTGCAGGTTGAAAATTCTGACTGGGAATAAAGAAAACATTTGGCAGCAGAATAACAGAACTGGGTGGGCTTTGATTCAGGATACCAGGTTGGAATCCTTATCAATCACTCAGCAACCATGAATTTAGACAAGTTGTTTGATAGCATTAAGCCTTTTCACCATCTGTATAATTTGACAGGAATAATAGTACTCACTAAGAGGATATTTGGAAGGACTTAATAAGACAAATTGTGTAACACTTAACATAGGGACTGAAACACAGTAAGCATTAAGGAAGTACTGTCTTTCATGGTCATTATTACTGTTGTTGGAAGGAATGTATTTGCCCAGACATTGGCTGAGCATAAGCTCTGTGTGAGACACTGGGCCAGGTACTAGGAAGCGAGAACTCAGTGTGCCATATACGCTGCCTTCAGGGTGCTCGCTGTTCTAACTGGTGAAGGAAACAAATGCCCGTGACCAACTTATAAAGCAGTAAGATACTGTGTGAATTTTACATAGGAAGGACTTTTAAGGCTGGAATCATAAAAAACATAGATGATAGAAATCATAGATCTCCTTGCAGAACTGTCAGAAGCAAAATGTAGATCCCATATTGCTTTTTTTATTCTTACTTTTTAATTGAAGAATAATACAGAGTGCACAAATAATTTATGTGTAGCTTTATGAATATTTACATGTCTATACTCAGGTACTACTACCCACATCAAAATTAAAWTACTTCTGGCGTTCTAGAAAGTTCTTTCATGCCATTTCCCAATCAATACCTTCCCCAGAGGTAACCACAGTTCTGAAATCAATAGATAAATTTTGTCATCTTTGAGCTTCACAACAGTGGAATAATATTGTCAATGCTCAAGTTCTTGTCTGGGTAGAAAAGTGGGATAAGAAGAAAAGGACCCAAATAATAACTTCCTAAATAATATTTAAGGAAGTTTTGCTAGTGAATATATGTTTGCCTATGTAGAAGATCCTCCATATGTGTGGGTTTGTAACAAACATGTACAGACTTTTATCGTGTCACTATTCCCTAGAAAATACAATGCAACAACTATTTGCATTGAACTCACTTTGTATTAGGTATTATGAGTAACCTAGAGATAATTTAAAGTGTACAGGAAAATGTGTGTATGTTATACACAAATACTATGGCACTTTTTTGGTGTGTGTGYGGTGGTGCTGGGGGTTGAACCTAGGGCCTTGTGCAAGCTAGGCAAGCACTCTGCCAACTGAGCTGTATCCCCAGCCCCCACTATTTTTGTTTTTAGTAGTTTGAGCATCTGCAGGTTTGGGAAGATCCTGGAACAACCCTGCCACGAGTCCTTTGGGATTACTAGATCTCCAAATCAGATAATCTTACCAAAGTTAGGCAAATATACAGGTGAGAATGAGAAGAAACCTAAAACATGATAAATAAAGGTCATGGGGCATGCTAGTTATCATCAATTAGAAAGCAGATTCCTCCATGAGCAGTGATCTCCAGGATGTTACGTTTAGTCAGCCCTGCCAAGTGGTGAATAAGGAAGGAGGACATGGAGACATCTCCCTCCAGAGCCAGTCTTAACCATGCCAGTTAAGTGGACAGAGACTACCCAAAATTGGGGGATTTGTGAAATTAACTCCTACTGAAGAGACGAGCTGCAGACTGTTCTGTTCATACCTTTGGGAAATTCACTTTCTTTCCCCAGTTCTGGAATTGTGATGTGCAGAGGAGGCAGGTTAGAAGGATGAGGTAGACACAGATTGTCGCATGCCTATGTCTCCATGCCAGTGAGAACATTTACAGCAATCTTGTTTTTCTCTTTGTTTAGATTATTACTTTGGGACTGTGATGACCGCAGCTACAGTTACTACGTTGAGGTTTCTACCAACCAGCAACAGTGGACCATGGTGGCTGATAGAACAAAAGTCTCCTGCAAGTAAGTTGCCTCCTTTCAGTAATTTATTCCAATTGTAAGAGCAGACTTTCTGATGGAGTCAGCGGTTCCAAGTATGTATTACTGGGACCACCAAATTATATTCTTCTTTTGAGGTTGAAAATGTATTACATTGGTTGGGGTTGTGGCTCAGTGGTAAAGTGCTTACCTAGCATGTGTGGGGGGCCCTGGGTTGGATCTTCAGCACCACATAAAAATAAATAAATAAAACAAAGGTATTGTGTCTACCTACAACTGAAAAATAAGTATATAAGAAAAGAAAATGTATCATAATAATCCTTTACCATAGTTTGACTATTAATTATCTATGGGAATTTACTTGATAGGACCAAATAAGCTTTCTGTTGAGATTTGAACTTGACTCACACTTTCAAAAATAATGTATATATCTAAGTAGGAAAAAGAAAGATACTTTCCTTATGCAATCCTCTCTCAGATCTTTCCCACATCCCACACTATTCCTTTAAGATATTTTTTTTTCTTCCTTAGAGAATTTTGCTGACGTGATACATACTTCAAAAATTATTCTGGGGCTCTATCTTACTCTCCACCCTCATACCAGTCTCAGAGTTAGCTAAAAATTTATCTCATCTCCGTGTTAGCTAGCTGTTACCAGAATTAAGGAAAGCCTTGTGCCTTAGGCTCTTTGTGGGCAGAGGCATTTAATGCACTTAGCACGGGAGCTCTGAGCTTACCTAGTTGCAGGAACAGCTGGCAGGAAGGATTCTGTGGGTTCTGACCAGCCTAGAATCAGTATGTGAAGAGAGCCTTTTTGTACAGCCAGATTCTCTGGGAGACAAGACAGCAAATGGCTGATTTTTCTTTCTTTTTTTTGGTACTTGGGATTAAACCCAGGGGTGCTTCACCACTGAGCCACATCTCCACATCTCCAGCCCTTCTTCTCTTTTTTTAAATAATGTATTTTTTATACCTTTATTTTATTTATTTATATGTGGTGATAAGGCTTGAACCCAGTGCCTGCCTCACACATGCTAGGCAAGTGCTCTACCACTGAGCTACAGCCCCAGCCCCCAAGCCCTTTTTTTATGTTTTATTTAGAGACAGGGTCTTACTAAGTTGCTGAGGCTGGCTTTGAACCCATGATCTTCCTGCCTCAGCCTCCTGAGCTGCTGGGTACGCTACCACACCCAGCTCTTTTTTAAATTGCATTATTGTTCTGTGTTAGTCCAATTTCTATTGCTGTSTTAAAATACCTGGAAAATCAACTTATAGGGAGGAAAAGTTTGTGTAGGTTCTTGGTTTCAGTCCATGGTCACTTGCTCTTGTTGCTTTGGGCCTGTGGTGACACAGTAGAGCAATCAGGGCAGGAACATATGACTGAGGAGGCCTGTTCACCTCATGGCAGCTGAGAAGCAGAGAAGGAGGAAGGAGATGGGGTCCTAATATTCCCTTCACGTCCTTGCCCCCAGTGACCTAACTTCCTTCCACCTGACCCACCTCCCAGTAGCAACCATAGACTGACAACCAGATCTTGACCACAGTTGCCTTTGGGGGACATTTTYAGTCCAAACTTTGACAGATTCACATTCTATAAATTCACCCCTTATAAAGTGTATGATTCAGTGCTTTTTAGTATACTCACAGAATTGTGCAGCCATCACTTCCAACATTCTAGAACATCTTTATCACTCCAAAATGAAGCCTTCTCTTCATTAACAGTCACCCACCCCATTTCTTTTCAACTCCCCCAATCCAGCAGCCAGCAATCTTCTTTCTCTCTCTATGGATTTTTTTTTTTAAAGAGAGAATGAGAGAGGAGAGAGAGAGAGAGAATTTTTAATATTTATTTTTTAGTTCTCGGCGGACACAACATCTTTGTCGGTATGTGGTGCTGAGGATCGAACCCGGGCCGCACGCATGCCAGGCGAGCGCACTAMCGCTTGAGCCACATCCCCAGCCCCTCTCTATGGATTTTCATATAATGGACATCTCATATAAATGAAATCTTATATGACCTTGTGTTCCTTACTTCTACTTAGTGTGATGTTTTCCAGGTTAATTCATGATTGTAACATATATCAGAGTTTCATTTCTTTTTAAGAATAAATAGTATTCCATTGTATAACCAAATTTTTTTATCCATTCATCAGTTGGTAAATATCTGAATTATTTCCACTTTTTATTATTATGAATAATGCTACTATGAATAGTATATATATAAGTTTTCATATGAACATATTCAGTTTTCTTGGGTATAAACCTAGAAATAGCTATTGAGTCCTGTGGTAACTGTGTTTGACTTTTTGAAGAACTTCCAAGCATTTATATAGCAGCTAACACCATTTTCTGTTCCTACCAGCGGCGTATGAGGCATTCTAATTTTCCACAAGCACTTGTTGTTGTCCATCTTTTTGATCACAGAATGTGGAGGTGAAGTAGCATATCATTGTGGCTTCAATTTGCACTTACCTAATGGCTAATGATGTTGAACATCTTTTCAGGTGCTTACTTGACCAAGATTTCTAAATAGCATTAACAATGGCTTGTCTGAGGGCATGTTTGACACCATCACCATTACTATTATATTATCACAAAGCACATGTATGTTGATTAAGGTAGCACTTGCTGCTGTAACAAATAATTTTCAGTATTTCAGTGACTTAACACAATAGTGTATTTCTCAGTCATCTAACAGTCACTGTGGGTGTTCTGTTGTTAAGTGGCCGTTCTCCACAGATGAATGAGGAACCCACGCATCTCCCTTCTTATAGTTCCACCATCATTTAGAGCCTCCTCAGCATCACGTACATCTAGCTGGTAGACAGGAAAAGAAAAGAGAAATAGATACTTGTATGCTAATGTGGATGTAGTCCATTCCTGGCTAGGCAGGAAATTCCCATTGAAGCATAGATTTTGTGGGCATTTCTGCCACAGCTTAAGAAAACTAACAATTATATCCTAATTAATATTCCAGTACCTGCATTATTTTATCTCTTTTTGTCTGAATACAAAATGCTTGTGGGGTATTGTCTTTATTTTATAGAAGAAGAAATGAAGCTCAGAGAGAGTATCTTTTCCAAGGAGTGGAGCTAAGATTTAAACCCAGGGCTCTTTCCAGCCTACCACATTGCCTCCTAGTACCAAAGCGTTACCTGAGGGCCAAGCCAGGCTAAATGATGGAAAAGGGCAGATGAAATGGTTAACTTTTCCCAAGCTCCTGGGACCCTCTTTATGAAACTAGAGGGTCTCAGAGGCCCATAAGCAACCAGCCATCCATTTGTCTTTCCAGAGTGTCTGCTCATTGAGTGTGTAGCTCCGGGACCAGATCTGTGCTTCCTCAAAACTTGTCATCTTTGATGTTTATCCATCCCTTTTGACATTTTGTATGTTATAAAATATAATTCCTCATCTTTCTCTCTTTTATTTTCCTCTGCCAAAGGTGCTATACCAGGTGTGTTTTTAACAAGATCTGGTTGACTGTTGACCAGGTACATGTTATAATGATGTTGTATTTAGTGAAATGTTTTTTTTTTTAATTAAAAAACGCATTCACTAATAACTCCTCTCATGTAACTTTGCATTAAGTCATCAGTATCTTTGTTTGCTTCAATTACTTAATGGATTTAAATAATTTATGTTTTTAACTTTGTATTTTAGCACTTAGATGCTCCAGCAGTGTTTTACATATTAATAAATAAATAGTACAGTAGAAGAATAAGAGTAGTGAAAAGACAAGTACCTTTTAACCCTATAAGGATCAATGGAACCCAGGGTTATGATTTTACATTTACAGACATATCCTGAATTTACTGTGCTTCCTATTTTCAAGTTAGGCCTTAAGAAACTGAGAATATATATAAATGATTAAAAAAAAAAAAAAGACTTCTTAACTAACATACTCCAGAGCAGACCTCAAGAGAGGATTCTATTAACTTTAAGAATTGTAGCGTGTTCTTATTGAAATAGAATGTGAGTCATGTTATAAATAAAATTACATGGAATATTTAAAGATCATAGCTCTGTCTCTTGATAGCATTTTTCCTTGTCAAGAGATGAGAGCTCGGATTTCTGCTGTTCTCAGAGAAATCTCTCAGAATGAGCAGCTCCCTGTCTTTGAGCTCTGTCTGGGATTGGTATTTTCCTTTCTAGTTCTCAGGTTCTTTCTGCTAGACTTGACGCTTCTCTTGTTTTCATTCAGGCTGGGGTCATCTTCTGCTGTAGATAACCTTGCTTTTGTATTAACTTTTTTTTTTGGGGGGGGGCGGGGGGTGGGTTCTATGGATTGAACCCCAGGTGTTGTGCATACTAGATAAGCAGTCTACTGCTGACCCATCCCCAGCCCTGTACTAATTTTTTWAAATTAATTTTTACCCCTCTTTCCTTACCTAATATAATAATGTACACTTTAGCCTTATTTTGCTTTTCCAAGCATTGATTTCTTTTCTCTGCTGTCCTTTAAATTGTTGAACAATTGATCTGTTTATTCAGCTCTTAAGTTATAAACGCAAACATGCACATGGAAATTAATTTAAGTAATGCAGAGATCCTTTTGTAAAAAGTGAAATTTTACCTTCCCATCTTCTGTTCCACTCCTTGGAGGTAACTACTTCTGACTTTTTTGTTTTGTTTTGTTTCTAGTTTTTGTAACTTCTTGATTTTAATATTTTGAASCTCTAATAATTAAATTATCAGCTTTACTAATTTTTGCTATAATTCACTTCAGCACTCTTCATTTTTGTTAGTTATGATTTTCACTTTAGTTCTATTATTTGCCTTTTAAAATTAAATGATATACTTAAACCTCTATTTTTTTTTTCATCTATCAATTGTGGACAGTAGTTTCTGGTTTCCTACTATGTTGATGAAGAAATTATACCCCTCTATTTCCGTTTGTCTTTCTTCTTCCTACTTCCCATCTTTTGTAAGCTGTCCAACCTCACTGACCTTATAAAGGTTTATGATGTGGGGGCTGGGGCTGGGGCTCAGTGGTGGAGCAATTGCCTTGCGCGTGTGAGGTACTG